TTTTCATGTGCTTGTGCAGCGTCACGCAATCACACAGTTGTGTCGTGTTTTATGTTTCTCTTGAATCTGGGTCATATGTTATCAGGGGGTTGGGGGTAAAATGCCAGCAGAATTAATATGCACCCAAAATTCAAGATGTGGTGGAAAAAATGGCCCTAGTGGGCTATAAATTTTTGTTTTTTTTATAACATGTGATATTTAGTAAACAGTTCAGTAAACATAGAGTGGCTTAGTTCCAGAATGAATCTACCGTTTTGAACGAATGAATGCTTCTATGATTCGTACATTAAGACGGTGATTTGGCGCCACCTATTGGCGGTTTTAATTTCAAAATTTCAAAATATATAATTTATATATAATTTTATATAATAATATAGAATTTTCTCTTTATTAAAATAATTATATATGGTGTTGTAATTGCAGTATAAATGCATTGTTAGTTGTCACTGCTCTGAGATCGGCAAACGCTCCGGCATGTTTTGCTGGGTTTTTTTTCACATAGCTGCAACATAGACTTAAAATATTCTGTCATTAATGGTCATGTAAATTAAATCAATACATGATTATAAACTATAGAGGGTCTTCTTTTTTTGTGTACACTCTTATTAACATCAAAACCTTGTGTTTTTGTAAAATAAATAAAATAAACGGGGTGCGCTTTCAGCTTACTTTGTCTTCACAAAAATCTTTCTGAAATGCATCCGAAAAATTAATTGTAACTCAGTAAATACTTGTCACAGAAACACAAAAGATTTATCTTTATGAAGCTGAAATTCTCTTCTTTTAAATGAAGTAGTTGATGTAATCTGAATGAAAATAGAGACTTGTCAGTATTTTTTCTTTCACCTAATTATAACGTAATGTGACACGCCCACTGAAAGCGCGCGCTATTCAATCGCTAATGTTGAGGCAAGCCATGAAAATGCCCACTTCAGCTGGATTTTATTACAAATCTTACCTCGTCCGAACCTTTCGTCTTGCTGCGCAGTGAGAAATAATACCAGTAATCTTGGAAAAGTTACCTCAGAAGTGCTGTTTCATTTCGAGGAGCACGGATTCAGCTGATGTAGTAAATCGTTCTTATCGTTCTTATCGTAAATCGTTATTTTGACTACTACACCTAATTATTTATGACAAGGGTGGGCTGTTCACACCCATTCGCATATTGCCTTGGCAAACAAAAAATGTTTTTCACAATATAACCCAATTCACAGTTTTATCCGAATGTTTAGACAGGATGATTTTCAGATCATTTTGAAGAAAAAACTCTAGGCCATGTAAAGTCCGCACGAAATCGATCCAATGGCGGAGTTCGATGCGTGGTGAAGGTCTCAAGTGTGTTCCGTCTTTCCCATTACAAAGTGAATTTTAATTAAATGCAACACATTTAATCTTATGTATTAACTCGTTTCATCTGACTCCATAAAATGAAAAAGGTTTATCAATGATATCTGCATCATTTAATACGTTAATGCAAAGTCAGTTAGAATAGCCAAATATAACAATTTATTATGTCAGGTAAATGTATTTTTACAATTCCACAAGATAATCAATGCAACCCATCAAATGTTTCAAAGAACTTTACCCAATTTATTACATGAGCTGAGGCTAGAAGACACAACATCATGGGCTGATCTGAATACAGAAAGCAGTGCCGAACTCTTGTTGCATTTTCCTTAAAGGGGTCATGAACTGGCTTTTTAAATTTTTTTATATTGTTGTCTGAGGTCAACTTATAACGTTCGCTTGGTTTTTGCATTCAAAAACATAAAAATGAACAAGTAATAGGCTATTTTGTGCCCTGGTTGTGAGCCTACCTAAAAACAGTCGGTTTTTATGGGCGTGTCGCACTGAAGACTTGGAAGTAAACACCCACTGCTGCGAGTGGAGAACAGTTTTGCATATTATAATGAGTTTCACTCAACCGTCGGTGTATGTGGGGGAAAACGTCCAATGTTGTAAAATGGCAACCGGATTCGCCCATATATGTTCAACCCAGAGTCCGTGTGTTGCACAATATTCCTGTCAGATCCAATATAGACGACACAGCACCGTTCTTTACTCTTAATCGGTCTGCAAATCCAGTCTTGTTGACAAAACAATCCTCAGTGAAATGAAGCGAACAGACGACGATGTTTTACCCTCATCAACTGGAACGTAGAGCCCTGCACGGGCCTCAAATCTAGGCCCTAGCCCGGCCCTGGCCCGAGACGTCCAGGCCCTAGCCCGGCCCGTGTCCGACAGCTCATCAGAATGATCAGCCCGAGTCCTACCCGAGCCCGTTTAAAAAAAAAAAAAAAAACACCTTACACAGCCTGCCCTGTTGCAGCAGTCATTTAAACAGATATGTTTTGTCCTCAATGGCAAAGTAGTTACCGTTTAGATTATTTTCATTTCTTTATAAAGTTAATTAAGACATATATTTCTTTTTATTTATTTTTTTATGACGACCAAGCACCCGACAGCGAGTTAAACATATTTGATCCATTATAGCCTCTCAAATCAACACTTTACTTGGCTACAATAAAATCCATAGATATAAAACAACTTAAACATATTCACACAGACAGTTAACGTTAGTTTAAACGTTTGTGAAACGTTTATTGTCATTTTTGAAAAGCTGAGGCAAACTGCTCTGCTGCTCGCAACAGCGCTCGTAAATGCATTTACAATACAATAGGCTACAATACAGAGAATGCAATCTAAACAAATCAAATAAATTACATTAAAAACAAACATGCAGGTTATCTTACCTCAAAAATCAAGTCTTCACTACAGAACATGGCCATTCGTATTTCCAAAAGTTTCCAACAGACTCATGAAACTAAAGTCCAATCAAACAAAAAACATCAAGACAACCTCCTAAACAGTCTCTTACAGAGCATCGTGCAGAAAAAGCACCATCCACCGTGTAAAGTTTTAATCCAGTCATACTTTTTCTAGCTGCGCTGAAGTCACGCTCACTACTCCTGCTGCTGGCGGGACACTAAACAGAGAACGAGCCGGTCGCGCGGATCGCGTTGCCGGGAAACCTGTGTGCGCGTGTGCGTGCCGTGAGCAGACTTTCAGTCATATATGTCAGTATGATAGGTTATAAAACGTCTTTCTATGTTTGCTTTTCAATAGTCATCTTCTCATATTTTATTTTAAGTAATATCTAAAATAGGCTATAAAAAGATAAGCCTAAAACAGGCCCGAGGCCCGGCCCGCGTGTGAACTGTGACGTTAAAATTGGCCCGAAGCCCGGCCCGAGGAGTGTAAATAAGTCGGGAAATAATTCTGTATTGCTCGGTAGGGATCCAGTTTGTCATCACGAGGTAAGCATGTACATGTATGTTATTTAGCTATGTGTGTAATGCGCGAATCGGTGGGCGGGGCTAAACCTGCCGTGGTGAAGCAGGCGTTGATCATCTTCTGTGGGGGTGGTGTTTTATCCTCTTCGTCGTCATAGTTCCCCACTTTTAAAAACGAGTCGTTTTCAGAGGCTGTGTCAATAAAAGCTTTTATTGGACTAACAAGGACGTTTTCAGTTCTGAAACTTACAGGATATTCTTATAATATGATGACCTCTTAGATGTCAAAAGCTCAAGGAAAATTTGATTTCTCAGTTCATCACCCCTTTAAATAGAGCCAGGAGCCATATCAGACCTTATCTGATA